GCCAAGAACTTGAAGACCTTCACCTGCACCTCCCCCGTCTTCTCCCTCCCGTCGTCCTTCCTCTTGCTGTCAAGAACGCGTTGACGCCCAGCACCCCAGCCCCTCAGGAGTGCGTTTCTGCAGCCACCTGCAGGAACTGGCTCCTCTCACCCGCTGGCTCCACTGGGTGCTGAGCAGAGAAGTCGAACCTTCTGCGTGAGCCCTGGGGAGCGTGCCCGATTAGTGGTCCTGGAGAATGAGCTCAAGAGCAAGGGCTTACTGAACGAGCGCCCCCGAAATTTACAACGCAGGCCGGGCTGCAGGAAGGAGTGGGGAGCTCCCACGGAGGCCATCTGTGGAGCCAGCAGTCTGCCTCCCTTCCCGCCTGTGGTAGTTACTTCATTTCATGTCAACTTAAAGATATAATACAAGTGTAGGGGTGAAGTCTAGCCTGTCAGTCACATCACAGCCCGACTGTGCCTCCTTGTGGGTGTGGCCTTCTCATAAGGAGGGCCCTGGGAGCCCTCTCTGTCTTCACCTTCCTGCTGGTGGACCCTGAAGGCAGCCAGAGCCCGGCAGATGCGTCCACCGCCATTGGACCCACGCGGCTTTGCACCCAGCGCCCGTGGTCTCCCTGTATTCTGCATCGCTGTTTTGACTGTGAGGGTCTGAAGAAGGACTCTGGGGGTTTCCTCGCCATGGAAGGGCTTCTCTCACACACGCGAGTGTCTCGGGATTTGGTTCTCTGGCCACCCGGCCTCACACACCACCCATCTCGTAACAGTCAGGTAGGTTCTGCACCTCAGTCCCTAGGCTATAAGACGACTCACCTCTGCCTTTCTAGTAACTGTTACCGTGTGGGCTGAAGAGGTGGCCGTGCGCATCACACGACCCTCTGAGGCTCCATCAGTTGGCAAAGGCTCCGCTCTGTGGCCAGGGAAGGAACGGCGAGGGCCGGCACAGCGTGGCTGCGCGCGTGCTTGAGTCAGGCTCTGTGATGGGCTTTGTACCAGGAGGTGGTGGGGAGGGCTGAGACCCGCCCTGGGCCCAGTGAGCGGGAGGCCTTCTGCCCGGGGCTACCTCAGGGGTGGTGCTTGCTCCTCAGTCACGTTCCCTGCACGCGTGAGCATGCAGTTTTCCAAGGGTGGGATTTGACAGACATAGACGTCTCTCGTGTGAAGTGCAGTGGGAGAAGACTTCCTGGTTAATGGGCAAAAGCTACTCGTGCTTAATTTTTTTTTTTTGGTGATTGAAAAACTCATTTAAAAAAAAAAAAAAAAGAAAAACTCATTTTATAAAATTAGTTTCACCCTATTTGAGTACACTAAGTTCCACAAGGCCTGGCCTTCCCAGGGCGTGGACACCTCTAGATGGCCGGGGGCCCCACCCGAGGGGCCTTCCCAGGGATGCCAGCAGGCTGGCTGGAGAGCCCCCAGGAAGCCGGAACCTATGCTGGCAAGGCCTGCTACTGGCGCTCGCGTGGGTGAAGGACAGATGGAGGGAACCCCAGGGACAGCGCCCACGCGCCATCGGGGGCGTGCGGCCTCCTACTGGCCACAGCCAGGATCCCCCCATTCTAACAGCTCACAGTTCCTACGGCAGAGGGGGGCCAGCCCATCATGAAGGCCCCAGGTCTCGCAGACCCTGACGCTGTCCCAGGAGCCCTCTTGTAAGAGCGTCAGCACTGAGAGAGGGGCTCAGCTGGGATGTGGGGCGGCCCTCTTACCCCGATCTGGAACCGGCTTTCAAGCCACAGGATTCTGCTGTTGATTGTTCTCTCCCTCCAGAGACAACCGCGCTGCTTCCACAACGGGTGGCCGGTCCCCCGCCCCGCAGCTGCTTTCACCCGAGGGTCAGGGTGCCATGCACTGTGGCAAGAGCTGGGGCAGGGTGCGGTGGGGCGAGGGGAGGCTGCCTACGGACACCCACCTTGCCCTTGTTGAAGTAGTGGATGATCTTCCGGCATAGTCCCTCTTTCCGCTGCCACTCCGTCTGGGGTGGGTAGTGGAGGAACTCCCGCAGTGGCCGGTCTTCCCACTGCAGCAGCTCACAGTAGAGGAGCAGGGTGAATGCGGCCTCTGGGGGAGCAGCATGGCGGAGGCTCAGAACAGCCTGGGCTGGAGGCCATGCCAAGCAGCGGGTGAGGGGAAGGAGGACGCAGCCCCAGCCCAGGGGTCCTGGCTGCCAGAGGTGAGGGAGAGAGACCCGGGGACAATGAGGGGTCACCCTGCTAGCCACGAATCCTTGTTGGGAGCACTCAGGTGCCCGGAATCCAGGTAGATACTCCCCCTGCCCCATGGCCTGGCCATCTGTTCTGGGCTCCAGGTATGGAGGGACTGGTGACCAGAGCCCTGCATGATCACTTCTACAAGGGGCACAGGTACCCTGCCTTGGGAGGCTTGGCCACATCAGAGTGCCTCGGAGTTCCTTTGCCTCACTCAACAGAGCAGCCTCTCCAGCTTTCTCAGGGCCAGCTCTGGGAGAGAGGGCTGACAAGCCTCCCTCAGCTCTCTCCAGGCTGGCCCCCAGGCCCCCAGTTCTGGGTTGCGCCCTCTCTGACAGGCACCAGAGAGCAGAGGTGTGAACGATAGGCACTGGTTGATGGGCCTAGAGCAGGCAGAGGCTCCAATCCAGCGGGAACTACAATGACGCTCGCCCCAGAGTGGCGGCCTGGTCACCCCTCACCTTCTTCCCCTGTGGGTGGTACAATTAAGGCATGTGTATATGTAGATGAGCTAAACACAGTAGCCCTCTAAATTCCAGGAATCACAGCCACTACTCAGGGTCCTCATTAGAGAGTGTTCCATTCCGTGCTGCTGGCTCAGTTTTCAGCAGGCAGCTGCTACTGGCAAATTAATTAGTTCTTGCTTCTGCCTGGGCTTCAAGATCCTCCGCGAACCTGCTCCCCTTGACTGCGAAGACTCTAAAATCTAATTACTTCGTGACCCACCCACTTCCAGTTTTAGCCAGGCCACTTATTGGGCTCCCCCTCCCGGCCCCTCTGCCTGTGCCCCAGCCACGGGATTCTTTTACCCAGGAAAGCGCATGCCTCTCCCCGGCTGCAGGAAACCCCTGCTCTGGGGCCAGCGCCTGTGGTGCTCAGGAGTGTGGGAGTCATGTGGACTCGTTCCTCCTCCCAAAAGGCTTTCCAGCTTCTCCCAGGGCACGAGGGGCAAGCCCAGCAGCAGGAAGCTCTGCCCACGGCCCGAGCCACGCACAACGTCTGCAGACGTCTTTCCTGAGGCCTGATGTGGGCCAATGCCGCCCTCCCTGCTCTCCCGCAGGGTCGCTGAGGCGGGGGAGGAGAGAACGGCAGACTCAAGCTTGTCTCTTAAGAGTTGATTTCTGTCACGCCGTCCTTGTCAGAGAGTGGGTTCTGTGCCACACCCTCTGTGGTCTGGGGCTCTGGAAGGAGGCCTCTCGGAGTCTAGGGCTGCATCTCGTTCTTACAGTTGGAGGACAAAGGCAGTCGCCACACGGGACGAACGGAGGGAGACCCCGGGGCTGGGCAACGCCGTGGAGGAGGGCGCTGTGTGTGGAGCGCTGCAGCGCCAGGTGGTTGGGCAGGCAGGGCACACCGGTGTGCACACTCCACCTGAGCAGGGGGCTCTCGGCAAACGCAGTAGGTCAGGCACTGGGGCTCGTTGACATTTGTTCTGGCGAGTAAGAGTATGTTCTAGCTGTACGCGCAGGGCACCTGACTGGCCTGTCCAGAAGCCAGGAGCGCACCCCCCACGCTCCCAGCACAGCTCAGTGGGGCACTGCCGTGGTGCAGGGGCAGAGGCAGGCCTGTGGACATTCCTGCACCCGGTCTCACGGAGCCCCAGGTGCTGTTCCGTTGAAGGCTCTGAGCCTCCGGGGGGCGCTGAGAGGCAGAGTGGCGCAGAGGCTAGGTTCACAGGTGCTCCTGAAGGTTCTGCCTGCACCCTCCTCCCGCCTGTGCCCCAGCCCCGTGGCTCTCCCCGCAACTCACCCGTGTAGTTCTCTGCCTGCAAGTGCATGTCACAGAGCTTGTGGATGTAGCGGATGTACATTTCTTCCTTGTTGACCTCAGATTTGTAAAAGTTCTGCGGGAAAGAGGAGGAGGATTACACCTCCTGGAGCCCACCAACTGTCCGGATCCCAGGGCGTGCTCGGCAGGAGATGGGGGAGCCCGGGAATAGAAGATAAAGGCCCAGTCTGTAGACAGACGGGCTGCAGCAGGCACTGCTAGCAGCTCTCCTGGAGCCCCGTGAGGCCGGGCAGAGGCCGGGCAGTGGGGCAGACCGGGGGCTAGGGCCTGGTGGGAGCTGGAAGACACTAAGGTCCGCGGGGACTCGAGAGAGGCCAGGCGAGAGCTGTGCTCTGAGAGGGGCTCATTCTGGTCCGCTCCCGAGGGGGAATGTGTCTGATGGGGGCAGGCTTCCAGCGGCTGTAACCAGGTGCTGGCCTGGCTCGCACCCTGCGGCAGTGATAGGCGACTCTCATGTGGGAAGGTGCAGGCCTCTCACCATTAGGTTCACGGTGCAGCCGACCTTCTTGTTCTCTGTCTCCTCTCCTTTCATGCAGTCCCTGTAAGGGGTGGGAGGGGAGGAAGGCCACTGGTGAGCGTCCGGTGACACGCAGGATGCCACTGGGACAGCACCCAGGGCTGTGGTGTCACTGGGCTCTGAGAATGACCCACCACAACTGAGGCTCTGCGCCAAAGCACCACACGAGGAGCGACATGACATTGCTCCTCTGCTTGGGCTCCTTCTCACCAGGGAGTGTTGGGACGGGCCCCCGGGGCTCCACTGCATTCAGACCCATGGGGCCTGCGTGTGGGCAGGAGGGCCCGGGGCTGGCCTGTGAGGCCCAGGATGATGGCAGTGCTGGGGAGATGCTGGGGTTGGTCGAAGCCCAGCTGCGATGGGAGGGGCCAGAGGCTCGACAGGAGGAGGAGGTGGTGAATGAGAACTTGAGTGGTGAAGACTCCTATGCACACAACCTGTCTGTCTGCCGTCTCTCGGCTGGTCCTGGGGAGGCTGTTAGCAGCTTGCGAGGTCCAGCCTGCGAGGGTCAGGGCAGAGTGTGTCTCCGCTGACCAGAGCAGGGTCCAGTGAAGAGGGGCGTGGCTGTGAGTCTCCGAGCCTTTGGGGTGGTCACTGAACACACCCAGCGGTGCCCCAGCACACAGAAGGGCCACTGGGGGTGACTCACCAAAA